TTGGCTGACTTTGGTTTGTTATTTAAATCAACACCAAAGACTATGGCAAAACCTCCTCAAAGTGAAGATATTGAAACTGCAATGAAAATAGCTTGTAATGAAAATTGGCAAATAGCTATTGTTGTTCTTAATAATGTTCTACCGGAAGTATATGAATCTGTTAAACAATGGGGTAATCAAACACTTGGTGTAACTACTCAATGTGTCAGTTTTCAATCACTTCAACGAAATGCTGGCAAATATCGCATGTGTAAAGATTTTTGTTATTTGTTATTTTTCTTTTTGTAACGATATTATTTTTAGATATTCAAAATTTAAGTCAAAAAATAAATACAAAAATCGGTGGTATCAATGGAATTGTTAATTTAAAAGCAGCACTTAGTCGTTCATCACATGAAGATTTATTTATGTTCTTTGGTGCGGATGTAAGATATTTGTTTAATCAAAAAAACAAAAAAATTTTTGTTTTTTTCTTTTAGGTTACTCATACAACTTGTTCACCTGATCAACCATCAATAGCAGCTGTTGTTGGTTCATGTGATCCAACATGTAGTCGTTATGTAGCACGTCTTGCTGAACGTATGTTTTCCTTTATTCGTTAATTAATCTTTGAAAACAAAAAGTCCTTTTTTTTTTTTTATTCTTAAAGAATATCCAAAAATAGGTCGTTGTTCAGTAGAAATTATCAAAGAACTAGATAAAATAGTTATTGAATTACTGCAAGTTTTTTCACGTACATGTGGAAATCGTTTGCCTAATCGAATTGTTTTTTATCGTGATGGTGTTGATGATGGACAATTTCAAAAAGTACTTGATAATGAAATAAATAAAATAAAAAATGCTTGTCGAGGTAAATTTAATTTTTTTGTTTTGAAAATTGTTTATTTTTGCGTATGTTTAGTTGTATATGGAAATTTACAATTACCTAGATTAACATTTGTAATTGTTAAGAAAAAACATCATACACGTTTCTTTGCATATGATGGTCAATATACAAATAATATAGAAGCAGGCACAGTTATTGATCAAGATATAACACATCCATCACAATTTGACTTTTATTTATGTTCCCAAGCGGCTATGTAAGTCTTTATTTGCCCATTAAAATGATTAAATTCAATTAATTTTGTTAATAGAATGGGTACATCTCGTCCAGCACTGTATCATGTTCTTCATGATGAAAATGGTTTTAGTAGTGATGACATTCAACAACTTACTTATTGGGTATGGATTTCTTTTTCAAATAAATATATTTATTGAATAAATGTTTTATAAATTTTAAAAATAGCTATGTCATACGGATGCTCGTTGTACAAAATCAGTCTCAGTTCCAGCTCCAGTTCATTATGCAGATTTGGCAGCACGTGCTGCTCGTATGTTTAAATTTGGTGATAATCTTGATCAAAATGAAGAAAAGTTAGTGAAAGAACATTTTTTTTTGTTCTTCTCTATTTTAATTTTTATATTTAGTGATGATGAATCTGATCGATCAGACAATATTTCATTAAATGATATTGAAACTAGAGTTGTAATATTAAATAATAAAATTCAAAATAATATGTGGTTTGTTTGAACATTGATGTTTTTTTTTTTATTGAAAAATGTCTTTTGTTTTTTTTTACAATCATTAATAAAGACATGTAAAATGTGTTTGAAATTCTATATACAACTCTATAAGCTATGACATTTAGATTTGTCTCAACAAAAAAAAAACAGAAATTATTTCTACATCAAATAATATAAACAGTTCGACAATTTTTAAATACAATACTTATAAAACTAGTTTACCTGTCAACGGCAAAAAAAGAAATTTGAACTCGCTCATTTTCAATTTAATTATATTTGAACTGTTACTGTAATCTCTAAGAGATTCAAATGTGAAAGATGACGTAAACGCATTTCTTCAGCATTCCTTTACTCAATCATTTAGAAATACGGTAAGAAAATAAACGTTTAGTTTAATTGAATCTGTTGGAATAGTAAAGAAGAAAATAAATGTTGAATACAGCGCACTTTGTTGTTTTACTTTTTGGAAGCAGATCGACTCAGAAAATGATTGATAGTTCAATGCAGTGCATCGTTATTCTTGTTATTTAATATTCTTTATTGTAAAGAGAAAAAAAAACATGGCTCCAACAGCTGACAATATGAAAGTATGTTGCGTTTGAGGTTCATCTTTTAATGCTTAATGATCTTGAAGATTGTCATAGTGCGTGTAGTACTGCGGATGTTAGTCTAGTCGCTATTAATAACATACAAGAATTTCTCATTTAATTAGTAATCTTAGTCATTGTTCTTAGCTTTTCAGAAAAAACTATAATAGATGTATCCCAATCAATGACAATCACGATCAGGACTTCCATTTCAAGAATTGAATTAAAATAATCTTCAAGTAAATTTAGTTTCTTGCTGTAATAAAACAAAATACATGCACGAACTATTCTAAGAAGTTCATCAAGTATTATTGCATTCTCGTTCTACTGTAAATAAACGAGGTCCTTTTCTAAGTAACTTCATTGATTCTCCATGAGACTAGGTGAAGTTTAAAGTGGTTCATCCTCACATGCTGTGCTTTAGGGGTTATGATCGTTTTACCGAATTTTCGACTTGTAGAAGATTTTTACGAGAAAATTAAATTACGAAATACTAATTCATTAATATTTATGGTTGTTAGAAAACTCTAAAAATTTCAGTCAATAAGAATACGTTCTTATCGGAATATTAAATATTAAAAAACGATTAAACGTCACAAGAGAAACACAATACGAATACTTTTCATGAAATATTATCATTATTATATTAGTTGATTAAAGACTATATGTTGCAGAGATATCAAGAGAACATTTAGTGCTACCAATGCATATGGAGAGGAATTTTTCTCACGCTTTCTATATAGAATTATGATACTGTCGGTGTTAGTCTTGGTAGGCCTCAAGTAATCAGCAGTGCCTAAGAACTAAGAAATAGAAATTCCTAATCTGTTGAGGAATTATCAACATGGTTGTAATAATTCCTTGGAAATGGATATCGACTATTAGTTCCCTCATACATGAAAGTCATCAATTATAAGAGGAGAGTGCATGTTATACATCATTACACGCGAACACTTTTTGAGCAGTGAAAGAATCGTTGGGTTCAGTTAGAATAGTTGACAAGAATATGAAAAATTATTGGAATGCATAGACATTTATTATCAGTTATGTAGAAAATTCTCAATAACGAAATTTGTTTTATAAAACAAGAAGTCAGGTGCATCTATACAAACAGATTAAAATTATTTAATTCGAGCTAATTATATATCATAGTTCTTATTGTTTCTCGAAACTCTGAACTTTAATACATTCATCCATTATTGGAATTGTTTTTAAGTGTCCGATATTGACGAGTCAAAAAATATAAACACTAGTCTTTATGAACTTTTTGAATATTTGGTAAAATTGCTTTAAGTATAACAAGAGATATTTCTACGCGTAAGTAATTTGATAGTAAAGTCGGCTATTCGATATTTTAATTTTCTTTAAAATTAACTCAAATAATTGTTAGATCAATGCATTGTTTACAGATAGCAAGCAGCTTTTATTATCAGAAGAGATTTTCTATTAAGTACATTTGCTATATATACATTACATTTAACATCTTTATTGTTTCTGATTATTTGCTTACGTTTCTAATTCTAAAATAATAGTTCTACGCTATAAGCAGATTTTAAAAAATACATGCTTAGCAAAGTTGTTATCAAGTAGGTTTATTTAGAATCAGAAAAAAATTAATTCAGGATGACTTACGCTATAAATAGACTCTCAAATATACTTATATGTTGTAAAGTCTGAAGTAAGATAAATTGCATCCTTTATAGACTGAACTGTCCTGCAATCTGAAACTCAAAATTTTCCGTTAGCATTCGTTGTGACTATTATTATTCCTTCCATTATTCTTGGAAAATTCATTTCAACCTTTTATTTCGAATTCAAGAGAAGGGAAAAAAACGAAATCAAATAAGAAACACAAAAAAAGTATATCATATATATTTTTTAAAAACATCCACTCGATGTGATACGTTAAGATGATGGTCAATGTTCATGACATTCACCAATATTGAAACACCGCGAATATCTTAAAGAATATGACCAGAGACCAATTTATTCATCCTAGATTGGAAATCAAGTAATCGATAGTTTCATTTGAAATGATTATAAATTATCAGATGCATTGCAAACCAGGACAATCGCCAGCTTTCGGATCCTTGAATTGTTGGCGGAAAGTTTGAGGAAAATACAGTTTCTTGCTGGAAACGATTGCTGTTTTTTTTGATCTGGGAATTAAATGCTTCTGATAACTTGATTGTAGACATAAGATTAATACCGTATGATGAAGCAGATACGTGAAAATTTTCGAAGCCAGCGAAATGCATATCTCTCAGATGTTATGAAGTCAAAGAACCGAAAACAGAGAATGTAATTTTTTTTCTCACCACCGCTATCACTATGCTGATTGAAGAATGACTATGTATAATGAAACTAGAATTTGTTTCATGACATTATTTTTAAGAAATGAATAAAAAATTAATTTTGTAATTTAAACAATTTTTAAACTTTGCACTACAAAGTAATAGATTTTATAAATTTCCTAATAAAAGTTGTGTATGGCATTTATTTCAGATGTTGCTGTGATTGGACTTTATGCTAGATAAATTTTCTAAGAAAGTCTACAAAATCTTTAATTAAAAAACCTCGTATTTTGCCGTTTACTGCGAAATATAAAAGTTATTTAACGTAAATAAAAATTATTCTTTATCCACATTCTTCGTTCATTTTTATTGAAACCATAATTAAATTCATTAAACAAAAGCTAAAGATGAAGATTTCTTTTCCAGAAGATTCTAGACTATTGGCAACCTTTGCGAACTTATATGGTAAGTAGTGTCGATTTTATCCTGCTTTGAATAACAAATTTATTTTGTTGAAAAAACAAATATGGCTAGATTAATGAAAGTTACTATTCTAACAAGATGTCACTGATTCAAGTTTTTCATCATCATCATCATCATCAAGTTCTTCTTCTTCTTCGATTCGAGTAGCAATTTTTCTTTTTGGAACATAACGAAATGCTTTTATCCAATTATTATTTGTATGTTTTAATGTTAATAATATATTATAAACTTCATGAAAAGCTAATGCACGACTTGATGTTGAATGAAATCTAAAAAAAAAAAATAGAAATTTAAAATGACAAAAAGTTTTTAATATTTTGATAAAATGATAATTACGTAAGATATTTTTCTAATGGTAATTTTTGATGACGAATATTTTGTCTAATAGCTTTTTGATATGTTAAAGGTTCTTTATTTTCATCATCATAAATTCCTCCAAGAATATAAACAGCATCATGATCAAAATGTGTCATTTCATTAGGTGAATCAGGTGTTAAATAAATTAAACGATCTTTATCAAATAAATCAATATATAAATCTCTTGTTGAATGAAAATAAGTTGAATGTTCATGTGGTAATAGATGATTACATGTTTGAAAATTATGTGAAAGATCACTTATTATAATATAAGCTGGTGAATGAAAATGATCAATATGTTTAAAACAACGAAAAACTCTTTGAACAAGTGATGAAAAATATGAATGACGAGCATGAGCAAATTCAAAACCACCATCAATAACAAAAAAATCTCCTAATCGTGCTGCTCTTGCTAATGCATAAAGATTAAGCCAACGTTGTGGATTATATTTCATGTCTAATGTAGCAAATATTGTTTGATGAAAAAGAGATTCTAAACGATTAGAATCTGATATAGTAGCAAGCATTTCTTTTCTTTTTTCCATTCGAAATCGAAGACGTTCTCTTCGTGCTTCTTCATCACATAAATATCTTAAAAATTAATATATAAAAAAAGAAAAAAAAAATTCTTTTATTTATTTAACTTACTCATAAAGATCACGTCTAATATTAAGTGATTTAGTAATAAAAAGTCTTTGCCAATATTTAGGAGCTATACTTGATTTTGGTACAGGTTGAGCCCAATATTGATTTAACCAATACATTTCTTCCCAAAGTATATTCTTTTTTGTATCTTCATCATTTATTTGATCAAGTGATTGAGTTACATGACGAAGAAGTGTCCATCGAAGAATAGAAATAACTGTTGAACGTTTTGTTTTTATTTTCACTATTTGTTCCCATCCACGAGGACGAAGAAGCATCGTTTTTCTTTCTTAATTCGTTTATATAACATCTTGTTAATTAGAAGACACTTTCTCTTCTCCATGTCTTCTCATACTTTTTATTTATTGGATAATTTTATAAAAAAGAGATGCCGCATCTAGTCAGTAACAAAAAAGTATAAGTAATAATACGTTTTAGACTCAAAGAAATCAATATTGAAGAACAATCAATTGTTTGTACATCGAGATTTCAGAAATAAATCGTCTTCCAGTACCAAAACTTTATACATCTAATCAATGCGAAGTTTTATAGAATTAAATTATTTCCCTTATGAATAGTATAAACACTATTCTATGTTAATATTTACAAAGATAGAATTTCTTTTAATATAATAGCTAACCATTTATCTTCTATGGCAATGTTCAATCAATATTGAACTTTATAGAATATTATCTCAAAAACTACTCCAACTTCACATTCAAAGTTGACTCTTTTTTAATTAAATAAAAATAAAATTAATTGAAATATCACATATAGCTTCAATGTTCCAAGAAAATAGATCAATTTAAATTCAATTTTAAATATTTTCTTTCTTTTTCTATTTATAAAAAAAAATATTCGATTCATTTCTATTTAGTAAGAAATTCATTGCTTTTCTTTTCAATCAAAAGATTTATATTAATTGAAATTTATTCTATTTAGAATTCACTGCAAGTTCAAAATTTTCTTTTTGTTTTTCGAACGTAAAATGCTTTTTGGTACAGTTTCTGTTCATTCTGAAATGTACAAGCAACACATAAGAATAAAGATGCCATAATGAATACGAAAAAAAGAAATACAAGAAAGTTTCAGTAATGAAATGCAAAACAATAAATAATATGTGTAGGTCACAGGGAAAAGATTGTATCTTTGAATCAAGTTAATGATTAGATCGAATGAGATTTAGACATTTATTACTAAATCTTTTTTTTAAAATAATCAACTTCACTGTCTTCGGTATATCGAACGAAGGTTATTATAAAGATATGGAATCATTCTTCAAAACCACTTTTGTAAACTGTTCTCATATCATTTGTAAACGTTTCAATGAAATCAACTGCGTATTTTAGTGGTGACATAGAGAATATACATTGGTTCATCATTTTTATTGACATGTAAATGAAATATACAAAAGTGACAAAAAATAAATAAATTTTACAAGAAAATTACACAAAAATAGTCTTTCGAAAACTAGCTGCGTCCTCGATCTGCAGATTGACTACGTTCACGACCATTTCTAAAACGAAAATATAATGTGTTATTTTCAATTTTAACAAAATCTATTTCTTTTCCTATATAAGTTAATATATTTGATTAAATAAAAAATAAAAATATATATGTAATTAATATATTAAAATAATTATAAATTAGAGTAAAATAAATAATAAATTTAAAAATTAGTACGAAATAAATAATAAAATATTAACTTATATTCGAATTAAATATTGATGTTTCGATCAAAATTGACCTTGTTCAAGTAATGTTCTTCTTAAATGTACATAGATGGTATTCTTTCTTCTGTATGTTCCTTCTTTTTCCTTTTATTGACTATAATGATGCTCGGTCGGAAACTACAAGACGGTAATACTGATACGAGACGACATTTATGCTTTCTCGTCTATACCAATATTCATTGAAGTCAAGTAAAGTACAAAAACAAATATCTATACATAAAAGAATACCATCTCCATACATATAACAACAACATTCTGAAGATCAATTTTGACCGAAACAGCAACAATTAATTAATTAAATATAATATTATATTTTATTATTTATTTTCTACTAATTTTTAACTTTATTATTTATTTTACTCTAATTTTAATTTTTTTTATATCAATACATTGATTAGCTATATATAGAATTTTGTCTTTTTTAATTTAATAAAATTAGATTACATAGGAAAAGTAGCGTTACTACAATTAAAACTCATAATAAACTTCCTTAACGAATTTGAGATTATGTATAAGTAAAACATCAAAACTACATAATTCCAATATCTTCTTTTCTAATAAGATCCTACGTCATCAGACTTATTAAGAATAGGGTGTGGGTGTGGGTGTGGGTGTGGGTGTGGATGGCTGTGGGTGTGGGT